AGGCAGCACAGCGTACTGACTGACCAGTAAGACACAGAGAAGTGTGGAAGATCACCACAGCGTATTTAGAGCTGTGCGGCAATAACAGCTAATTTGTTTTTGCCTAAAGAGCAGTTAGGGTAGGTTTTGTTTCATTTTAAATAAAGACATTTGGACTCCAAAGGTCATTTCCGTGAAATAACAATGCGCCTTTCAGAAAGGGGCACCGGCAGGGTCTCCGTTACTCCCAGTGCTCCCAGCCTGGTTTGAAAGCCCAGCTGCAGCTCAGCCGTGGGAGCATCCCCAGGACTGCTCTCTACTCATTGCAGCAGCTGGCTGTCCCGGTGCCCCCACCATGGAAAGCGCAGGAGCTTGGGAAGGAGTTTCGGCTTCTCTGTTGGGGTGTTTGCAAGCACCCAGTGCCTATTTGACAGTAAAATGAGGATGATGCCCAGCTCCTCTGCCCCCTCACCTGTCAGCTGCACCCCTGTGCCTTCTGGAAGTGCTGGCAGAGGATGGTGCATCCCCAGCAGGCAACATACGGCAATACGTTTCCCCCATTCTCATCAGGTATGGCCTGAGGATCAGATATTACCAAAAATTCTGATTTTAAAATAGTCTATTTGCAGTGGGGGAAGGTTTTCCATGTGCTGCTGGCTTTAAGTGGCAGGTGAATGTGCCTCACTGACTTCAGTGAAATTGGTACCATGATCTGTATCCGTGCAAGTACATCGAAGCAAGGTGATGCAGGAAACAGAGCTGGGCAAAAAAGCAGGCATCTTGGCTCCCAGCTCCAGGTACATTGCATATTTATTTTCCTATATGCTTCCTAAATAGCTACTCTTTCATGCTTTCAGCAGGCAGAAAGTTATAGAGCTGTGAAAAAGAAAACTGGAGGCTCAGGCTGTTCTCTGTCTTACAGACATGTATTTGCCACAAATTTACTCTCTGCTTCAGTGCAGCCCACAGCATCACTTTCTATCACTCAGACTTCAAGTATCAGGTCAGTTTGTTCCAGAAGTACATTATCTTTTATTTTGTGTGGGGAAAGAATCTTCAGAACGAAAAAGCCTTTGAGTTAAAAAAAGCTCCCCTTCTTAGCCAGCACTGCTGTTTGTCACCCTCTTGGAAATTTGTAAACTCTTTTCTCTGTATTTATCTAACCTTGCTATTTTTGGATTTGCCATAACTGTCTGCGCCAATGAGGTGTGTACGGAGGGGGGAGCGTCTGTGCTGCTTGGCTGATATTTTTGGCCAGTGTATTGGTCATACTGGGAGCTTAGGTACCGTGGGGAGATGCAGTCCCGATCCCCTCATCTCTCTGCCTCCTCTTCCTTCTCCACAAGCATTGATGCCCTACCCACCTGCCCACAGCAGCTCAGCAGTCCCCAGCTGAGATGGCCAGTATAGATGCCTCCGGATGTGCCAAGGGCTGGATGAGAGAGGAGGAAGAGGCTGGGATGGATGGCACAACCAGCTGCAGTGGCACTGTCTGGACCTCTTCTCCCCACCCCAGCACTCTCATAGCTAGAGGAAACTCACTGCGGCAGCTGAAGGAGGTCTGCACAGTTTCACCTTCCAGGGGCGTGGTGGGACTGTGATGGCCCATAGAAGAAGGCAGTTTACTGCCTCTGCTCTTCCCAAAGCTGCCCTGGCAACTCCCAGCCAGCCAGCTCCTGCATGGTAAAGAGCAGCATGGGACAAACGTGGCCACTGTGAACAGAAAGGAAAGGACTTCATCAACCTACCATCCTTCACAGGGAGGTGTGGGTGGACACATATGTATACACATGTATGTATGTACCTTAATACTCTACAGCTTACAAGACACTTGTAATTTTAATTTTCTTGTCTTGCCAAGGGCCTTTTCAAACCATCTCCAGGCGTGGTTAACCCCATCTGCCCTATGCTGTGCCCAGAGGTGGGCTATGTGGGGAGAAAGGAGCTGCACTGTGGGAATGTCTCCTCCATCTCTTCATTTATGACCAGGGTGCCTCAGCTTCATTCAAACAGATTCCCCCTAAATCATCAGTGCACTAGGCTGGGGGTGAATCCCGGCATGGGCAGTGACTCACTCCCATGCCCCCAGGCAGCAATACCACAGCAAAGAGAGGCCACTGCAGCTCTCCTGTGTTGACAACAGAGAGATCTCTCCTACCCCAACCAAAGTCCTATTCAGAGCCATTGTGCATCTAATAATCATACAAAAAGATCTTCTTGATTTCTTGGAGGTTTGCGGGAACAATCTTTTTCAGCTCCAGAGTTTTGATTAGGGCTTGTCTTCCAGTAGCCAGGAGGTCACAGTGTCTGCAAAGATCACAACCTGAACATCTGCATCCTATTACACAGCATGGTAATTATTTTTCAACATTCCCCATGTCTTCTAGCAGTGACAGTGGTGATTAAAGCCTGGGGTGGATTCCTGAGTAGCATTTACACTTCCTTTACTTTCGCATCCTGACCGTAAACAGGAGAAGAGGGCTTTCCTTGGGCACTAGGTCAGGAAGTCCATGTGCCTAACGGTGATACCGACGCACTGATGAAAGCCCGGAGATGTCAACTGGTACAAAGCAGCTGAACAAACCTGCCAAGGGGTGCCAACAATAGCAGGATGTCACTGCAGCTCACAGGGAGGATGTTTCCATTCACTGATTTGGCTCCTGTGCCAAAAGCTGTTCAGTGGTCCAAGGACTAAAACCATTGTCTCCAGGAAGTGACCAGGAGCAGACTCTGGTGGCTCAGAGAGAGTGACGGGGATTTGGTTTCCCATCCCCAATGCCAGATCAGCAAGAGGAGGAGGTGTGTGAGGCAGACTCTGGGCAGGGCACCTCTGGGCAGCCCCCTTCACACTTCTCACATGGTCTGGAGCCCCTCTTACAAGGGGGCTCCATAAACCTTCTTGTTGAAGACCGGGACTTTATCATTCTCCTTCCTGGGGGAGGGAGAAGAGATGGGTCAGGGAGACCAAAGAGCCAAGAGGAAAAGGATTAGTTGGGTCAAGTCTACAGCAAGAGGCTGGAGCTGCTGAGCAAATATTCCAGCCAGGAGACAGTTTCAAAATTTCCTGACTGAGAAAGGATTTTACTTTCTCTCCTCATTATACACGGTGGCATTAATGAGCCCACATATCTGGGCTGTCGGGTTTGGACTTGTGCAGGTCAGCATTCAACATTCAAAAAACTTCCTTCACCATAATTTTTGCTAGGTTTTGTAAGGCAGCCAAAGGCAGGAAACTGTCTATAAATGAGGGAGACTGCTCCGGGTGGGTCCCAGTGCTGACAGCAGCTGCTGTCTACGATTTGTATCCAGCCAGAGAGGAGGCAGGAGGCTGGACTCATCCTTCCCTTGGGAAAAGGGGCTATGGCACACACCAGTGCACACGCCCTGCACAGCAGCTCCTGCTGTTTCCTCTCACCACATCTCTGCGAGTCCTCCCGTCCTTGTCCCTCATTACCTGCCTAGTATTTCTCTGCTTGGCTACATCTGTCTGTCTCTTCCTCAGCACGTGTGATGTCCTGTCCCCATGTGTGTGCCTGCAAGTGCACTCACGTTTGCGTGTCTCCCTTAGCTCCAGTGCGTGTCTCGCTGTTAATAATTGCTCAGGTTGCCTGGCGGCTACATGCACATCTCCATCCCATCTGTATTTTTCTGCTCAGTTATGCTCGTGTACCTCTCCCTGCGTCTGCCTTCCAGCGCCTGCCTGCATCTCTGCTTGCAATTGTGTATCTCCCTCCACGGGCCCTTTTATCCATGGTAAACAGGACAGGCACGTGCACCCAAGCCGCGTGCACCCAAGTTGGCTCGAATTGCACCGGCCAAGAGCCAAGACGAAAGGACAGGGAGGAGGGTGGAGGGGTGGAAGAAGTGAAAGGGAGCAAAAGGGCTGTTGGAAAAGGCCTAGGGCACAGCCCAGCTTCTTGTTGCCTTTGCACTTCTCTCATGGAAAAGATCGTCAGATAAGACTGCTCGTTAAGATAACGACGAAATGCCTGCAAGCCACCAGCTGGACGTGAAGAGAAGCTCTCCTTCATCCTCCCAGAACAAGAAAGGGCGAGGGTGTCCCAAGCCTCTTGGGCTCATGGGGGTCAAGGGGAGGGGCACAGATGTGAATCAGAGCTCAGGCAAAAGGGGAGGGCTGCAAGGGGAGTGGAAAAGGAAGACGCATGGCAAAAATATTCCAATTTCAGAAAAATGCAGGGTGAGCAATTAAGGCTGTTTAAAATAGGAGTAACATTACAACCCTCCCTCACAGAGAAAGGGCAGCCGACACTGCATGACACAGCTTGTTAATACTTTCTCAGAACCTTGGTTACAAATTTGTCCCCTACACAGTGTTGCTGGCCACCTCATCATGAGCCAGATGAACTGCCACCCGCAGTGGGGGGCTTCCTTGCCATACCCACAGGTGTGGTGGGGAGGGGGGAAGATGCTACACCAAAGGCAGGTTGCAACTAAGCATCCAAAAATGCAAAGGGCAGGGGAGCTGCCCAAAGGGCTGTGGCAGCTGTGGGCACCTTGTTGAGTGCAGACAACTCTGATGGGCCAAATTAGAAGATGCAGAGAGGCCAGGTGAGAAACTCTGGGAGAGGAGGGAATATCAAGGTTTCTGAAGATGGAGCTGGCATGGGGGATAGAGCAAGCTTCTGCATGGCACATGCCACACGCCACACAAGTGGTCAGAGCCACTGGGGCACTGGCAATGCTGGCAGCATTCACATGAGCAGGGAAGCAAGGCAGCTGCTGCGCTGGCATGAGATGCAGGGGTGGGGAGACAGGAAGAGGCACAGAGGCAGGCACAGCCCACAAAACAAGATGAAAATGAGTCAGCTGTACCAGCTGATGACTAGGGGGGGTCCTGGAAGATGTCAACGTTTCTGCCTCACTTTCTGGAAAATACCCAACCTCAATGGAAAACTACTGCAGCAGAAGTCACCAAAACAGCCACAGTGGTGGCCGGCAGGAGGGCTGGTGAGACTGGCTGTGATTCTGCTTTGAATACCGGGCCAAAACCAACACAGCAGTGCTTGCTCTCCCAAATTTTAATATGACTGCTATAGAAGGGATGTCATTCAGACAGACCCAGGCAAACTTATGAAGCGGGCTTACAAATCTGAGTGTGAGGTGTTGCACATGGACCACTGTCCTCATAAACTGTTAAGCTGATTTCAACCTCAGAGATGTCTGCTGGAAGATCGGGACAGCAGACTGTAAGCAACTGAGGAGACCACAGCAAGCAGGATCAGGGCTGCTGCAGCGATCCCAAACACCCACACAGAAGGGATCGTGGCTTTCTCTGCACCATTGCTACTCTCGATCTCCTGCAGCAGATTAACCAACTCCTGGTGCAGAAACATCTTGTGCTCCAGCATCTGTTTGGCTGTGGCTCCATCGATCTGGTGCCGCTGCTTCAGGCCAGGCTGGATGATGCTTCTGGTGACAGCTCCCATTGTGACACATCCTCCATGATGTTACAGCCACCTGAGCTGCATCACCCAGCCAGCAAGCCCCAGGCTTTGTCGCCACCACCCAGCTCAGCGAGTCCTGGCCATCACAAGTGCAAACCCCACCTGCAGAAGTGAGCTCCTAGGGACTCTCTTGACAAAGAGACTCTCCCTCCAAAGTCATAATTTAAATGAAAATGGAGACTGCAGGTGGATGTCCCTGACCTACGTAGAGAAGTGCAATGTCTTCTGGGCCAGGTGGTCTGACTCCAAGTAACCTTGCAAAGCCTTACCTTACGAGCCCTTGGGCAGAGACAACTCTCCTCCCTCTCGTCCTCTTGGCTTCCTTCTGCTGGGGCAGGGCTTGGCCCTGCAAACCCTGGCAATCAAGCCAAATGCCACTTGTGTCCCTGGTGCAAGTGGAGAAGATCCTGTGGCTCCTGTCTCTAGCTAACTTGCCTGCAAGGGCAAGCAAGTGGGCTGGAGGGGCTATGCTAGGACTCGCATCTCTCCGCTCCCCTGAGGTTTCCCCAGTTCAGGAGAGCCACCTGTACACCCTGCTGTGGATTGTGCCTCTCAGAAATGTGGTCTGTACTGCATGAGTGCACACCCTGAGGCCCAGACAGCTCAAAAGCTTTCTCTAGCCTTGCTGCCTGTGCACCAAGACTAACATGGGAGCCACATTTCTGTCAGTTCCGCATGTAGAGAACTGTATGCCCAATGCACCTCCTGTCCAAAGCCTTCTGGAGGTAAAAAGAGGGAGAGGTTGGTAAGTTTAAGCATGCCCTGAAGTCCCTTTCTGTGTCAAGTGTTTCTTGTCAAGGTGGTGGAAACTTGAAGTCCCAAGTGGAGGGAATATGGAATAAGAATCATTGTGGTTGGAAGAGACCTCTAAGATCATCCATTAATCCAGCACTGCCAAACCCACCATGAAACCATGTCCCCGAGTACCATATCTACACATCTTTTAAATCCCTGAAGGGATGGTGACTCCACCACTGCACTGGGCAGCTCATCTGGATTCTTGACAACCTTTTCAAGGAAGAAATCTTTCCTAATATCCAACTTAAACTTCTCCTGGCACAACTTGAGGCTATGTCCTCTTGTCCTATTGTTTGTTATGTGGGAGAAGAGACCAAGCCCTGGCTACAACCTCTTGGCTGGACTTACTAGCAAGGCTTTAAAGGAAAAGGGATGTACTTCTGACTGTCAGAGAGGAAACACCAAGCCTTTAGAAAGCAGACTGTAAGTAAATAGTCCCAAAGCAATTAGGGAGGGCTCTTCCCAAAAGGTAAGGAGGCCAGTAGGCTGAAGTGCCTCTACACCAATGCACACAGCATGGGAAACGAGCAAGAGGAGCTGGAAATGATGGTGCAATTGGAAAACTAGAAGCTAATTGCTTTTACAGAAACATGGTGGGATGAGTTGCACAACTAGAACACTGAATTTGAGGGCTACAAACTTTCCAGAGGGGCTGTGCTGCTGGGTGCTGCTGGTGTTACTGGACCCAGACCCACTGCACACTGGCCACTCCCTCACCACATGGCTTTCCAGGTGTCCCTTGTTCCCCACAGCTGGAGCCAGCTCACCTGGGAGCAGCAGGTTCCTAGAGATGGACATCTGTGTCCCTGGCTGCTGCATCCCATGATCCCCACAGGGGTGCCTGCCTGCAGACCAGCCTATAAGGCCCACCAGTGCAGAGGGCAGCAGGGTTTGGCCTTTTTCCTTCACTTGGCTTGCTAATTTAAGGGTGATTGTTTTTTTCTACCCCTTCCTGCAGCACTCCTGATGCTCATGAGAATTCAGTAAAAGCAGTGAAGCCACATGGAGGGCCTTGCAGTGGTGCCCGGCTCCCTTCCTGCCAGCAGAGGAGCCTTGTCCCAGGTTCCTGCTCACACTGGGCACATGAACTGGTGGGCAGTTTGGATTTTCAGCTTATTTCTGGATTTTATCACTAGTAGTTAATTTAAGAGAAATTTAAAAAAATCAATGCAGCCAAGGCTAAAGTTCAAGAGAGGGATGCCTGCAGCTGCCAGTGCTCTCAGATACAGCAGCAGGAGGGGACATCCTCACTGCTCACAGGGGAAGGCTAAAAAAAAAAAATCTAATTACTTTTCTCTCCCTCAACCACCCATTTAACTCCCCTTGCCTTCTGCTTGTTTCTTGCACTGTAATTAAATTTCCTCGGATGGCCATGTTTCAGGACAGAAGGCTGGTGTGGGGGGTGTGCAGGTCTCCCAGTCCTCGGCCAGCTGTGAGGAAGGAGCACGCATTTGTGCACCCCCATGCTCCCAGCTTCCAGACTCCATTCCTGGCTGCTTTGTACAGTGGGACAGAGACATAACCAAGGGCACATTGCAATCTCCACCGCAGGTTAGGAGATAAGCAGCCCTCTCTTAATGAGGACATGATATACCTGGCAAGACTGTACCCCTTGTGGGGAACAACAGGCTCTTTCACTCTGGGCCCTGGCACATCCAGGAGCGGTCGTGGGACACAGGGAACAACAGCTGATAAATCAGCTCAGGACTACCAGCCATAGGAAGCCCAAGCTAATGGGGCAGCCCCACATCAGCTGTTGTTGGGAAGCCCTGGAATGTCCCACGTTGGATTGCAACAGCAATCGCAGCAAGACCACAATTCTAGACAGCTACAGCTTTGCTAAAATTGGCTTTTCCAGAAGGCAAATGGGGATGGCAGCTCTCCAGCACCAGAGGGAAAGCTGCATTTGTGCCTCCAGTATCTGTCGAGGGAGGCCCATCCCGGAGGGAAAGGGCAGCATTACCATACCGAGAGACCTCTATCTGCTGCCTGTGAGGTAAAATCCCCGCTGAAAGGAGCCAAATTGTTACTGTGTATATCTAAAGGCACTGAATTATTAAGGAGAAGTGATCTCTTAAGACTGCAGGTGGAGCAGAGAGCTTTACAGATGGCTGATATTAAGTGTAATGGACCTCTAATGGAAAACCACCTTATTGCTGCGGGATGGTTTCTCAGCTGTGGAGCAAATCAAAGCAGCTGGAGTGAATGTGGTACGGACCATCATTGCCCTGGGAATTACTGGGTTTGATAGTCCTTTACAGCTTTTTGGAGTATTACAGTGAGCATGTGGTGGAGAGATACTCCCTTCCACCCCATTCTCTGAGAATATCCACAATCCAGCATTTACTTTTTCTGGATGAGCCCAAAACAGCCTTTCTGGGCTTCCACGTGATTAAGGTCATATAAGAGCTAGCTGTTGTTTCCAAGCCTCCTGAATTTGCCAAAATTAGGCTGGATTTGTGGAAACTGGCTTCCTAAGACCTCGGGCACTTCCGGCTTTGAATACCAGGCCAAAAACAACACAGCAGTGCTTGCTCTCCCAAATTTTAATATGACTCCTTTAGTCCCAAATGGAGCCACAAATTACAAAATTTGTTTATCTGAGTGTCAGAGAGGAACTAGGAAACACCAACACTTTAAGAAGCAGCAGGGAAATATTGTAAACCGTCCCAAAAGAATTAAGAGGGCTCTTCCCATAAGGTGAGGAGGTTGATAGCCCAGCGGAAGTGTCTCTACACCAATGCACTCAGCATGGCAAACAAGCAAGAGGAGCTGGAAACCATGGTGCAATTGGAAAAGTATGAGCTAATTGCTTTCACAGAAACATGGTGGGACGATTAGCACAACTGCAACACTGCAATTGAGGGCTACGAGCTTTCCAGAAGAAATGGGAAGGAGGGAGGGTTGTTGTGCTCTAGGTTAAGGAATGGATGGATTGTGGAAAGCTGCCTCTGAGAAACAGCCGTGAACAGGTTGGGAGCTTGTGGGTGAAAATCGAGGACTGGACCAACAAAGGACACCTTGTGGTTGGGGTCTGCTCCAGGTGCCTGATTGGGGGAGCCTGCTGATGAGGCCTCTTGCTTCATCTACAGAAGCATCACACTCACATGCTTTCATTCAGATGGAAAATTTCAACCATCCAGACATCTGGTGGGAAAGCAATACAGATGGCTGAGAGCAATCCAGGAGATTCCCGGAGTGCATAGAGGACAACTTCCTGGTCCAGGTATTGGACAAACCACCCAGAGGAGAAGTATTGCTGGACCTGGTGCTCACATATGCAGGTGAGCTCATCAGGGAAGTTAAGTGGAGGCGGTCTGGGCTGTAGCAACCAAGGCCTGAGTGAGTTCATGATCTTGAGGAACACGCTTGGTAAGGAGCAGAGTGAACTTCTGAAGAGTGAACTTCCAGCTCTTTAAAGAATTAGTGGACAAGATCCCCTGGGAAACTGTCCTTAGGGACAGAGGAGCTGCCCAGAGCTGATAAGTCTTTCGGGCCACTTTTCCTAGAGCACTAAAGCTCTCCATCCCAGTGTGTAAGGAATCAAGCACCGAGTAACTCTTTGAGTGACCTGAAAAGGCCATTACAGCTGACTACCCTGCTGTGCTGGGACAAGGAAGCCTTTACTTCAAGAACTCATAATCAAATATAAGATGAACAGGAAAGATGGAATAACTAGGGTGGAAAGGAAGTCAAGGGCTGGAGGAAAGTGTGATGTGTACCAGAGCTTCAGGGACTGAGGCTTTCTATCCCTAATTAACAGACTCACTTGTCTTATTTTCTCCTCTAACCACCGTATGAGCCTTTTAAATATAGAAGGCTCCACCCTGGCTATGTACACAGCCAGCCTGGCACCACCATCCATCTCAGCTACATGGCCACAGGTCGCGTTTTCAGAACCACTTGATGGGTGGATTAATGGCTGCCTTTTTATTGCCAGCTCCTCAGCTTTCAGTGGAGTGGGGTGTGGGGTGGAGAAAGGAGAAAAATAAGTAATAAAAAAACCCCATATGTGAAGCTTTCAAGTCTCATGAAGGTGGATAAAAAAAGTCAAGATTTTATTTAAAAAATAATGTGTAGGGGTTTTATTTGCTGCTTAGTATGAGAAATGTGAGGCTTGTAGGTTCATTTTTCACACTTTCCCACACACACCCCCCAGGCCTGGAAAGAC